CTGAGCACCAGAAATTGCTCCCTAGGTATAGGGAGATCGGAGGGGGCTTGGCTGAGGTCTGGAATCTGAACAAATGGCTGGTAGGCTGAAACCCTTTTTAAGTGCCCTCACAGCAGCCTGTCCTAGTCTCAATGGCTCTTCACCCCTCAGGGCACACTAAAACATCAACCCTAACTAACTCCAAACACTGCTCTGTCCCTCTATATATACTTGGTCCTGGGAGTAGCCCCTGCCTTTTCTTGGCTTCGCTCCCATTGGCTGATGCAGGCTTACTCTGATTGTAGGTTGCCAATGCTCCAATCTGCCTTTTCTCCACAGGTAGTTAACAACAATACCCAATATAGTATCAGAAAGCCTCTAAGGAGGTTAGTGTGGCAGTGTGATTCATGATCTCGAATGAGATCTGTGAGATCCAGACACAAGTCCCCAATCATGGTCTCTCATTCTGTTTCAGCCTGGCCTCCCTCACAGGGCTGTTTTAAGATTAAGGTGGAGAGGAAGAGATCCATTTATGCTTGTTAGAGTTCACTGGAGGAAAGTGAGGTATAAATATAATTAAAAGATAATAATACAAGCATCTGCACTCTCCATCCCTAGCTCTACAAATAACTGCGGCTTGATCTCAAGTGGCTATCAGTCTAACTTTAAAACCTCTTGGAGAATGATCAATACAGACTTCTGCAACTGTAAGTGGTCCTTCTACTTGCACGCTGCCAGGTGGTAAAGGAGAAAAAAAGGAAAGAAACAGGGTGCTCATTTCCCTTTGCTCAGAGCCTATCCACTGCTGTTTCAATCCTGTGCATCACTAGCATTCAACCCTGAACTTGTCATCTGTGAAGGAACATGGCCCTTGCTTTACTGAACCCCCTTCCCATTTTATCTAAACTGGTAAAATATGTTTACTGGATTTCAAAGAGACTAGTAAAACATGGTTTGAAGTGAATGTATATTTAATGGATTTCAGAGAAACCAGTTTATTAAACCAAGATTTGAAATGATTGTATTAAACTGTCTTGTTCCAAAGTTGGTACCCATAAGGTCCTGGCTCAGAACCTATGTCTAATTATACGGTTTCTCCATCCATACAAACTAATTTCAAAGAAATATATTGCTCTACTTCATCTGTCCCAGTATGCTTATTAATTTAATGAAATATTCATGACTATTTTAGTTCTACTTTTTATTTATATATTTATATTTTATTTATATTTAGTTATCTATATTTAGTCCTTTTTTGGTACTGTTTGCCTCAGGACAGAAATGCACACCACTTTAAAGAAAGAGCTGTTGCTAAACCCAAAAGCCTTGTACAGAGTTTTCCTATCCCTTTCCATAGTTATAAAGTAAATCTAATTACTATGTATTACATATATCAATTAGATTTTGGGTTGGTTATTAGAAAATCCTACCTCACAGCGACCAAAAAACACACATAGGTTTTTGTGGGGTTTTCAGGCTGTGAAGAAGAATGAATTCCTGACATTTTGCCTGCATCTGTGGCCAGCATCTTCAGAGAAACACACATGTCAACAACAACAAAAGTCAGTATGATAACCACCTCCAGGGCATGCCCTCTAATTTAGACCTAAAATGTCCATCTTCCAATTTCCCAGACATGCCCTCTTTTCCAGAGTTAAAATTTCTCCCTGGGCAGATTTTTAAAATGTCTGGGTTTTCTCACAAGGTCTGGACTGGAGGAAGCAGGTGATCACACAGTAGAGCTCTGAAGAGGAGAAAGAGAGACATGCCAGGTTAAAGCAGCCAGCCCTCTACCTTGTGATGTTACCATGTGATTGGGATGGAGCTGCCATGACTGCCGTAATTGCTCGGGCTGCCATTCCCTTCCATCCTAAGAGGAAAGCCTGACAGGGAGGAAGATGGTGGACAGGAGAAGAACGCCCTGACACCATGGCCTGGAGGGCATCTGACTGCAAGGAAAGTCTGTCTTCTCTGTTGAACTGAGTCAACTATGGGGTGGTGGTTCCTCTTACATCTGCCCAGAGTTAGTAAACGTGTCCTCTTTTTTTCCTTTTCAAAACCCTAACCTAAACACTGGATTGGTAGTGGGGTTTACCATGGGGCTGTTGTTTCAATGGCTTCTCATTCATTTCATTTTTGAATGTGCACTTGTCCAAAAGACAGCACAACCAAATTAATTCAAGACAGACCAGCCCAATTTTGACCATCTTTTTTCATGTTGTTCAAGAAATCACAGATAGGACAATTAGACCAGCAATACCATTCTGAGACCATTTTCGTGAAGTGGAGCAGCAAGAGAAAATGCTGGTGCAGCTCTCTGCACCAACAAATCTCAATCCCATAACATTCTGTTCCTGCTTTAGGGACAAGATTTATCCTGCTTTCTTGTTCCAGCAGTGAGGTCTCCCATGAAGAGATGCTGTCAAGCATGTAAACATATCTTTATGAAACCAACATCCAGTGACAATATACACATGGAATAATTATAGTTATTAAGACAAATAGGCTTATTTACTACGGTATATGAAAAAACCAACAAGAGGAAAAAAGGACAGGAAGTGCATGATGGAAATGCAAAATTCCTCTAGAATGTTAGGTTGAGTCCTGGATGAAACACATGCATGTGCCCAAGGACTCTATGGAGCTACACTGCCTTAATATTATCCTAAGATCTTTTGTCTCTGCAGAATTTCTATATTAAGAACCCATTTTCACTTCAGTTTAATACAGGGAGAGCTGATCTCCCATGAATAAGGAGCTAACGGAACCATTGACAGATTAATTGAAAAAAGGGACTCCTCTTCAGCCTTTTTAAATTTAATCTAGGGAGAATACTGTAGTATGAATGAATTCCTCAAACATCATGCTGATTATTTCACACTGGGCACAAAAGAAGTGATTGAAAGTTAAACAAAATAACTCACCTGGAAATAATCTTCTTTGGTAAAGGTCTTTTGCTACTTTTCTAATGCATTCTCCTTCCTCTCCCGTACAGCTGATTAATGACAGTTTCTCCAATTAACAATCAAGTACAAGCAGTCTGGAAGTAGTCCAGCTGCCAAGAACTGCAGCATCCACTTCATTCTAAGCCTCTGGTGCATTTTAAAGGGCATGTCTACATTATAAATGTAACCCACTTTCAAATTTGTTTAATTGTCATGCCCACCTTCCAAGGAAAGTGAGCAGTATTGCTGTCAAAGGATATCTACCACAGGAAGTAGCTAGTGCAAGAATTCTCTAATCCAGTTTTAATACAATGCTTGGTATCTAAAAGGTCTTAGATTCAATCCCTGGTATCTCTTCTTAAAATAGCAAGGGATGGGAATAGGCAACATTTGGTAAAAGGGGTTAATAATCTGACTCACTATAAGGGAACTTGAGTCAGAGTGGTGTAGTGGTTTCAGTGATGAATTAGGACTCCAGGAGACCAGGGTTCAAATCTCTGCTCAGCCTTGGAAATCCACTTGGGCGAATCACACTCTCTCATCCTATGAGGAAGACAATAACAAACCTACTCTGAATATATCTTGTCAAGAAACCCTATAATAGGGTTACTATAAGTACAATTTTATTTTAATATTTATTTGCTTTTTTATTTTTGTTTCATTTGTATGCTGCCTTTCTCCTAAAGTGAAACCCAAGTGGACAAAGTCAGTTAAAAAACCTTCACAGTACAAATATAAAAACAATTAAAATCACTACATAAAGGAGTATAAAATCAAGTAAAAGACAGGCAAGTTTTAAAAGATAAAGTATCCTAATAAGAAGCTCCCCTGCTTAAACATTTAAAGCTTGTTTGAACAAAAAGGTATTTGCCTGAAGGTGCAAGGAGAACAGGTAGGGGGCCAGCCTAACCTCCCATTGAAGAGAATTCCAGAATTCCTGTGATGGTGGCAGAACAAGAGAAAGCCTTCCCCATAGATATTAGAGCTTTGACAGATTTGTATGCGGAGATATGGTCTTTCAGATAGTCTGGACCTAAGCCATATAAGGCTTTATAGCACCACTGTGCCTGAAAACCAGCTGGTAGCCAGTGAAGCTGTTGACTTGACGACACATAACAAAACAAATAAAGCAACTTTTCATGTTACAAGCTTCAAGGTTTCTTCTAGGGAACACAGCAGATATTTATAACACTTCATATTAGTTTAGTGTAAAGATGAAGAACTTCTGGCTCATGAGCAAGATCCATGGATTCTGCACTTGGCCTACAAATTTGGCCTGCAACTTTATTTATTTATTCTTTTGGCCATTGTATCTAATAGCTGCTTGAAGAGATTATTTAAAATCAGGGAAACTGTTGCATAGAAGTAGAGCTTACGGGGTTGAGCTGTATTTTAGAAGGTGGGAACCTGTTGCATGGGACTGATATCTGTTTTGCAGCCTGGAGAGATGTTGCACTGGCATGCATGCCTTGGAAATCATTCCTGGAATTGAACTGTACCTTGTATGCATAGAGGGTGAAATGTCCAAACTCTCCACTGCAATTCATTTTTTTTCTTGGCCTTTGTCATGGGTAGAATACACCTCTCAGGAAGATCTTTCTCAAACTGGAATTCAGTTCCTAAGCCAAAGGATGCTCCCTACCATTTTAATGCCTTGAAGCATTCACAATCTTGCATATGCATCCCTTGCTCAGGACGGAAAGAATATGGTCCTCGAGTTGTTGCACTGCAATTCCCAGCAGTCCTAGCCAGCAGAGATAACTGAGAAGTTGCAGTTACAGAAGCCTATGGAAATCTCCATGATTCCCATCTAGCTCCAGCTGTACAGTTGGCCCTTCACATTTGCAGCCTTGAGACTTGTGGTTTCAATGACTCGCAAGGTCAAGGCTACTAATGCAGGCATTCCTACTCCCTTTCCCTGCCCCATTGCTCCCTGGGCTCCAAAGGGACTTTGGGGGGTGGAGACACCTCCTCCTTTTCCCTGCCTGAGCACTCCCTGGGGAAGGCAGCAATCTGGCTAGGAAAGGGGCAGGGAGCCAGTTAAAGGGACGGGAGGGTGGGAAAAAAGGAGTGCAGGATCCTGCTCCTCTTCCCCCACCTACTCCTTTCTTTACCTGGGTTCTGAGTGGGGAGGAATTATTTGGGGGGTTGCAGACTGCCAGAAATAGTGTGAATTCAGTCCACTTTTAGGGTTAGGGTTAGAGTTAGGGAACCATGGGAACTGTATTTTATTGTGGCACCAGAGTTGTCTGACAGAGAAGGTTCAATGTCTCAGGAAAATAACAGTTCCCATGATTCCCTAGCACTAACCCTAACCCTAAAAGTGGACTGAATTCACACTATTTCTGGCAGTCTGCAACCCCCCATTTGTGTTTTTTCCACATTCGTGGTGGTCTTGCTGCCCTAACCCCCATGAATGTGGAGGGAGGAATGTATTCCTAACAAAAATCCTGTAAAAGCAAAAGTGGAGAGTGAGGAATCTTTTGAAGGCATAGAAGTGAACTGTTCCCTAATGCTTTCATATGCTGGATGATATCAGGGGTTTTGTAATGCTCCTAAAACAACCAAGTCTTGGGCAGCTGCAGCACCAGCTGGGCCCTTGGCCATTGAAGCACCAGATAGAGCTTTAGCCAGGGACAATTAGCTTCACTCCTCTGAATTCCCCACATGTGGAAGCTGGAGAAGGAGCAAAGCCATCTGAGTCTTGATCTCAGGACTCAGCAAACTCCTGGATGCACAAGTTGACCATGTAGCTGGTTTTGCAATGATGCACCATTACCTGGATGGGATGGTTCTTCTTCTTGCTAACCTGGAAGAGTCAAATTAGGAGCCAGGCCAGTATAAAGTGTTGTTATCATCCATGTTGTAGAAGAGGTGTTGAAGAAGGTCAAAGCCTTGGTTGTTTATGGCCAAGGCAAGATTTGAAGCTTCATTCATAAGCTCAGTACCTTAGCAATTATGCAGTAATACCTCTCAAAGTTTTATTTTACTAAATGTATTAATCCATTAAAAATGAATGAATTCTTTACATGAAAAAAAAACCAAAGAAACCAGGAACGATGAACAAAACACTCAGATAACACAGAAACAGCACTCCCTTTATGCTAAATAACCCCTCAAGTAGAATATACTGTTTTGAGATTATTTTTTTAAAAACTTGACAACTGCCTTGTAGATGCATCTAAACAAGAATTTAATTCTGCTCCCTTCTGTTCTTCTTCTTTTAAAAAAAGTTCTTATTATTAAGGGCTTATTATCTTACAGAATTGCTCTGTGCCTGGAATGTGACATTAACTCAACAGTTGCCAAGGGAAGAATTGTTAATTTCTTACCAGAGTACACCACACACATACAAGTATATCTTATATATGCAATATAGCCAATATATCTTAACTTTTATGAAACAGTAGCTCCTTCTTTGGGCTTTTACTCTTTTTGTCTCGCAAATGTATACACAGGTTAAGTATTAACCTGTAAATACAGGTTGTGTATCTCTTATCTGAAATGCTAAGCACCAGAAGTGTTTCAGATTTTGAACTTTGGAATATTTACATATATATAATGAACTATGTTGGAGATGGCACCCAAGTCTAAACATGAAATTTAATTATGTTTCATATAATAATAATAATAATAATAATAATAATAATAATAATAATACACCTTATACACATGGCCTGAAGGTAATTTTATACAATACTTCTAAAAATATTGTGTAAGAAACAAAGTTTGTGTACATCAAATTAACAGAAAGCAAAGCATCACTATTTCAGTCATCCATGATTTTTAAAAAATATTTTGGAGCATTTTGAATTTCAGGTAAGGGATACTCAACCTGTAATATAGTAAGGATTATAAACCATGATCTACCAGGATCTTGTTCCATTGTTATGTGTTGTTTTTCCTTGCCACATGTAGCTCTAACTTTATTTTAAAAGGAAATAAAAACTGACAATAGGAGGCAATTCCCCAAGAATGGCAGCACTTGTCAGTCATCATCATTGATTGGCTGGTCCTGTCATATTCTAGAAAGTCTCCCTATGAGTTACACATGGTCTAGATAAATTCTTAAGGAGGGAGAACAGCTGTGCGACTTTCCAGGAGTCTTCACCTTTGGTTATGAAGGCTATGGCTGCTGGGACTTGCAATCCAACAAAAATCTGCATTGCTGCACAATTACTATCTTTGTGTATAAAATGTTATGGTTTCTTTGCTGTTTGCATTGGTCTTCAACCCTTTCAAATCCATCAGACTACTTATACTGCACTGGACCTACAAAACATTGTAAAAAGAGAATACTATTTAGCCCACTTATCAGGGCCGGCCCAAGATATTGGCTGCCTGAGGAGGAGTAACAAATGATGCCTCTCATCCAAATACTGACCCAGGTTTCTATGCATAATGCTCAAATTATTTTGGCACAAGAGGCAGAAAATGTTATAAATACCTCTAGCTCCCCATGGGAGCAAAATACTATTATAAATGTCAGCTGTCTTGTGTTCCACATCGGGGAAAAGGCAGCATATAAATGGAATACAAAAAATAAATATAATACAAAGGATATAACTTAATGGCTGTCCTTTCATGACATCCCTAATCAGAACTTGCCTTATGGTAAGGGCTGTCTTGCTGATGATCTGATAGAAAAATCTCCCCTGGTGCACTCATTCCTAATGACAAGTTTATTTCTTCATTTTAAAAAAAATGCATGGGGAGATGGGCGGTCATCCATATAAGGTCTCTCCCTACTCTATAAAGATCTCTGGCCAACTTCTAAAACTCAAAGATAGAAATATATGACTACCAATATGATGAAATGTCTGGAACCTATGCCCTATGAGGAATGGCTAAGGGAGCTGCATATGTTTAGCCTGAGGAAAAGAAGGTTAAGAGGTGATGTGATAGCTATGTTTAAATCTTTGAAGGGATGTTATGTTGAGGATGGAGCAAGCTTGTTTTCTGCTGCTCCAGAGACTATCCAGCCTCTATATAAAAACATCCAAAGAAAGAGACTTCACCACTCTCTGAGGCAGCCTATTCCACTGCCACACAGCTCTTAGCATTAGGAAGTTCATCCTGCTGTTTAGACGGAATCTTTTCCTGTAGTTTGTATCCATCATTTTGTGTCCTAGGCTGCTCACACACTGCAGAGGTGGAGCAGTTTGACACCACTTTGGCTGCAACGGTTCGGTGCTATGGAATTCTAGGATTTGTAGCAGGGGTAGGCAACCTTTCCCCTTTAAGGGCAGAGGGACTTCAGCTCCCAGAAGCCTCAGCCATGTTGGCCAATAGTCCTATGTTGGCCAATAGCTCCTGGGATTCTGGGAGCTGAAGTCCTTTGGCCCTTAAAGGGGAAAGGTTGCCTACCCCTGATTTGTAGCTTTTGGATATACTTAGCCTTCCCTGTCAGAGAGCTTTAGTTCCCCATTAATCTACAAGTGTGGCTGGGGACATAGGTCTAACACATATAGAGGGTAATGCTGTGGGAACATTTCTAAACTTTGGTGC